AAAGGAGCGGAGGGGAGCGGAGGCGGGCGGGAGATGAGAGCTCGGTTCGCAGCGTTGAGTCGCAGAGGAGAACAAGCGACGAGGGAGCGCGACCTTTGGTTCAGGGAGGAGCAGCGTCGAGCTGCTGTTTGGCGTGAGCAGGGAGAGCAGAGCGAAGGTTTCGGCGTAGCACAGGATCGAGCAGAGAAAGCTCGGGAGAGGGAGATCGGGCGAGATCCTCGGCGCAGAGAAGGAGAGGCAAGCGAGGACCTCGGTGCAGTGGAGGACATGCGAGCGAGGGCTTCGGTGCAGCGGAGGGTGAAGCAGGCTCCAGCGGGACACGGGGGTCTGTCGAGAGGAGGAAGAGGCGCAGTGCAGAGAGGGGGAGAAGGCGAGCGGGAGTCGAGCAGTCGAGACTCGGTGCCGAGGAGGGAGCCGAGTCTCGTCGTGAGAGGAGGATGGAGTCCAATGTCAGGAAGGAGCTAAGCGGGATCTTGTATTCGAGGAATTCTAAAAAGTCCGTTATGCGATAATGGGCGGGTAATTAATGAATTTCCAATGGGGGAGGAGTTTTATTTGGCATATAATAACTCCTAATTTAATTTTATTAAGACTGATTAAATGATTCATTTGAAATTTGAAATTTGAAATTTTAAAATTTTGAAATCTGAAAAATCGTTTAGCCGCCTGAGTTCAGCCCGAATTGCACTTGAGCTGAGCTCGAACCCGTGCCTCGTTAAATAAAAAAAAAAGTGTATCGATATCCGTGCTAGTCGCTCGTACGCGAAAACATAACAATGCGGGTGTTCTTCCTAGCTAAAATTGACGTTCCGGACGCGTCGGTGCGGTTCGTTTCGTCATCCGGGATCGTCCAGACGAGTTTGCCGGCGGACGAGTCAAACAAGTCAAAGTCGTGTGTGGTGCAGTGAGTGCGTGAATTGCGGCGTTCACGAGTAATCGAGTTACAAAGGGTTCACCTAAGGCTGTTTGATCCTATAGGAACTCATTTTCGGTCCCTCTACATGTTGGTCCTTAGCCCTTGCAACTAGAAGTTGAGTGCTTGGAACCACTCATGCGAGTTCGTCACAAAAATGAGTCAAGAAGTGGCTTGAAGTTCTACGGGAGGTGGGCCATTGCTAGTCCGCTAAGATGGTCAATAAGAACTCCCAGAGCTAGATCTTAGGTTCTAAGAGTAGGAGACTAAGACCTCACTAAAAATGAGGTCAACAATGTGATCGTAAGGAACATGCGTACAATCAAAAAAATCTAAGTGTCAGGAACAACAGTGACATAGTGGAACTTCAGCAGCACATAGGCGTACATTTATCAATTTGCATTGGAATGTTTGTTGGTATTTTATTGGTTTAGTTAAAATCGTGCAGTCAAGAGTTAGACCTAGTAGACCTTTTCAAATACTATAGAACACATCCCGTTCATATAGGTGCTGACATCATAGCAGGTTTCACATAGAATTAAAAAAAAAAAACAGAATATAATAATACTGAATCATATAAACTATAACTTTCTATGCTTTTGACGTGTGCATACTTTTAGCGTTTGCTTGTGCTTGTTATGTTATTTAAGTCCATATTTGTCTTTAACACAATTATGTGTTTGAAATTTCCAATGATGTTTGCCATTTTTGAGGATTAGTCTAGTGGTTTTAAAATTATATTGTTTTGTTCTTTTGATTTTGTAGGTGATGAATGAAGGCCCAGGACATATCCCAATGCACAAAATTCCAGAAAACATCGCTAAACAGTTGGATTGGTGCAACGAGGCACCTTTCTATACACTCGGTCCCCTGACAACTGATATTGCTCCTGGATATGATCATATTACCTCAGCCATTGGTGCAGCCAACATTGGAGCTCTTGGCACTGCACTTCTTTGTTATGTTACACCTAAAGAACATCTTGGGCTGCCAAATCGTGATGATGTGAAAGCTGGTGTTATATCATACAAAATAGCTGCCCATGCTGCTGATTTGGCAAAATGTCATCCCCATGCACAAGCCTGGGATGATGCCCTAAGCAAGGCACGCTTTGAGTTTAGATGGGTTGATCAATTTGCTTTATCATTGGATCCAATGACTGCGATGACCTTCCATGATGAGACACTTCCCTCTGAGGGTGCCAAGGTTGCACATTTCTGTTCAATGTGTGGACCTAAGTTCTGCTCTATGAAGATTACAGAAGATGTTCGCAAATATGCTAATGAGCATGGGTATGGAACTCCAGAGGAAGCTTTGAAGCAGGGCATGGAAGCTATGAGTGTTGAGTTTCTTGCTGCCAGGAAAACTATCAGTGGAGAGCAGCATGGTGAAGTTGGTGGGGAGATCTATGTTCCTGAAAGCTATGCCATACGCCGGTAAAAGGTAGGCTGCAGTTTATGTTATTCATTGATTTGTTCTGTAAGGATATGCTTTAGCTTACAGTGTTTCACATCTTTTGGCTTCTTGCTTGTGGATGGTTTACTTTAAAGCTTAGCGTGGTGAGAAAGTGAGTCTCTGAGAGTTCAAATTTGATATTCCCAAACTAACAAATTAATAATTTTATGTTTATAAACTACCTAGTGGCATTTGCATTTAATCTCTTAAGTTAACTATATTAGATTTAAAGAATGACGCTCCGTTGTATAAGGTAGATGGAGAATGTCAAATCGACCCTAAAAAATTTCCTGACCAGGAAGCTGAATATGGAAAAACCAATACATTCACCCCAGCCAGAGGGGGTTTGTACTAGGAGAGTACTTCTAGTGATATATGTATTTATAACCTCATAATTGTGCTTGTACTTCTCATTTATTTCTTTTTTTATTCATCATGTATGCTGATTTAAAGTCTTATATTCAATCAATAAGACGGAGAACCTTTCTCCTCAAGGATCTTGTGTTCTTGATAGGCTGTCATTTTGTGCAGAAGTTTACAGCCTTTTTTTGTCACTGCATTTTCTTTAGGAATAGGATTCCCCCTTTTTTTTTTCATTTTTACATTATATTATATAGGTTCATGCTAACTGGTTTAAGCTTTTTTTGGGCTTATTGTATAAAAATGATATTAATTTATTAGAATTAAATGAAAATCTGACACTAAATAGAATGGAGAAAACGGATTCATGTAGCTGACCCCCACTTAATGGGATTAAGGCTTTGTTGTTGTTGCTTATTTTAAAAGCACGTTGGTTATGGATGACTTCCATGCTTATTTATTTTTGGCCTGTCCATTACCCTTGTGTCTTTCCAGTGCTGATTTGGCTGCCTAGCTTGAAAACATACATTTTGTGAGGTCAAAATCCATCACGTTCAAATGTTTGAATGTGTTTATGGAGTGTATACCTGCAATTTAATTTCTAACTATATGCAACCAAATGACGAAATTTAGAGAACTTCACTGCTTTTAAAACGCATTTTCTAGCTGCAAGCTACCAATTGAACTCCAAGGAAGATTACCATAAAGGTTCTTCCTTGCTTTCTATTTATTACGTGTGAAGTTGCGAACTCATGCTTTCATTTTTTTGGACAGGAGCTTATTTGCATTTTCGTATTGCCAGAAGCTTGAAAATGACTCCAATTGGCTAAAACAGTTGGCATTTCCTATTGGGCCTATGTAAGTCGATATTATGCTAAATAATGCAAAACATGTTTTGAAACATGTTTTGCTTTGTTCTGTTTGTAAGTCGATATTATACTAAATAGATATTATGCTAAATAATGCAAAACATGTTTTGCTTTGTTCTATATGTAAGTCGATATTATGCTAAAAAATGCAAAACATGTTTTGCTTTGTTCTGATGGTTGTGTTTGTTTAGTTTGCTGCAGTAATGAAGCGTTACAAAATGTTTGCTTTTATTTGACATTAATCTGCACCAGGGGTGCCCATGCCTGCCATATCATAGGCCATTTTTGCCACTATGGAGGCATACTGGCTGAGAAATACCCTTTTAACCTGAACAGGATAATACCTGCGTAGGGAGTGTGCAAGTATTTCTTTTCTTTTCTTGTACATCTTCAGGAGATTCTGCCAGCCTCCTTTCCAGACAGCTGACTCCAAGCCGCGAAGCAGTTTTGTTGCAGTGGGCCAGAGTTATAAATGGATGGGAAGTAACTTAATTCCTTCATTCCTTCATTTAATTTTACGGGCTTTATTTTTCAATAATGAAAGATGCAAGAAATGTCTACAGATCGGTACCTCTCATTTTCTATACCAAAATAATATTTAGCAAGACCTTCATGTAATCACCTTTGCCATTTCTTGTGCTTCTTCATATTCTATTCTAATGGTACAAGCCCAGTAAGAAGTATATTTAAGATCGTTTGAGCATTGCTAATGAATACAATAAAGCCATGTACAAGTTAAAACTAAACTACTTTTAGCAAATCTGCTGTGCATTTAGGAGTTCGATACCCTGTAAGAGAGCTCCATATATTTGCACATCGGCATATTCCATTGGCTCTGGTCCTCAACCTTGAGTTGGTCCTATGTGTAGGCAGAGGTGCATCCTTAGGCCAGGATAAGATCAATTTGTCCTTATAATCTGCAAGCCATGGAAAATTGTTTTGTTCTTACTTTAGCACCTGCTTTTCTGTAAGCGTTGGATTTAAATCTAGGAAAATTTACATACATAGCACACAATTCTTATGTATTTACATTTCGCATACATAAAATTCTATATTTACATACATATCACTTTGGATTTTTAAACCTATGCAAGAAAAGGTGTATTTAACTTTTAAAATGTGGTAATAGTGCTATTTTCTATGTGATATTAAAGTATTGAGTGCTGTGTAAATATGAAGGCTTAGGTTTGAGAAATGTAAATACATAAGAATAGTGTGCCACGTAGGTAAATTCCCTTAATTTTTTCTCATGCGGCAGGGAGGATTCAAATCTAAAGACTGTAAATCACATCAGACCTTTCAGGTAGGATTTGAAATTGGCTTTTTGTAGCATTTGAAATTGGCTTTTTGTAGCATCTACATCATGAATCTAAGTTAGTCATTCACTGTTTCTTGGTAATGGATCTTTTCAAGTAGCTTGGTGTGAATTCAAAAATATACATTGTAAGGGAAGTGCATTGACCAGCTTGGTTCGGTTCTTACTCAAATCAAAGAACCAAACTGTCTATGCTTTTCTAGAAAATTAAGCTTGGATTCAAAACAAGGACTGAAACCGAGTCAAAACAAAACAAAGAAAAGCAGTGTTTAGCTAAACTTGTTTTTCTTTTAGCTAAACTTGTTTAGAAGCTTGGTATATATTGAGACGTTATGCTGTAGTTATACATATTAATTGTTAATTGGATAGAAAACACGCCCACATGTTATTCTTTACTGTCTGGTACATGTTGTTTACCTGCACTAAGTGTTAGACATCATTTGTTTTAGTTTTATTCTTGCTTAAAGCAAGAACATAAGAAGCGATTAAATTTTTTGGACAATTTTCCTCAACACTTCTTTTGGTTTCAAGGAATTAAACGAAACAAAAGTAATAAAAATAAAAGAACAATTTAATGTAAAGGTATTTTACCTCACTTCTTTGACCAAGGATAAAGTTAGTGAAGGTTTTTTTTACTCGATGAAAAATTGAATTTGTTTGGAAAAAAATTGGCGATCATATTTATTCTAAAGGTTAACTATGATTGGCTTTAGAATTCTTGAATTTATTTTGAGATTAGTGCAATATAAGAATTAATTTTGGGAAAGGATATGATCCAAATTTTCTGATTTTTGTTTCTTGTGAGAAATATGCATGTTGGCCATAGAGAGGATTTAATAAATTTCACGTCTTATTGTCATCACCAAGGGTTGGGTAGAAATTGTTTAAAAATGTATTTGTTCACTTTTTTTTGGTAAATTAAATTATCTATTAAGTATATTGGAACAAAACACAAGCAAACATACCGTAAATAAATTGTTTGTATCCCAATAAAATAAACTGGGTTGTGATTTTAACTGCTGAAAATTGATATGGCTCATTAGTGTGTACACACACATTACACGATGCATCGCTGACTCCCACTCTACTATAAATTTGGAGGAAGATTGGTTTTAGGATATCACGCTGAAGTTTGGTCAAGGTGGATGTTTTATCTTTAAACTTGTTTTTGGATGAGTATAATATTTGATAAATTAATAACAAGTTGTATGGCATTTATTTTATACTAAATTCTATGTTTTAAGCATAAATTTCATAAGAAAATTTGATTAGGATATTTTGAGCCAATCTGTTCCCCAAAACTCAAAATTAATAACACTTAAGAACAAGAAAAGGTCACTTGCTATTTAACTTAATTGAACATCATTAGAAATAAGTTTTTTTTTTAAAATAATTTATTCTATTCATCTTCGGGCAACGCTGAAACTGAAAGTGAACTTAAAAGCCCATTGATTTATTCATCTCCATTTTTGTCCATTTTTGTTTACTGACTCTAATGAACACTAGCGGTGCTTGCACAATGGTGCAGGCTGAGACAATCCATTTGAACCTCAGCAGCGTAATACCTGCGAAGGGAGTGTGTTGCTTCCCCTGTCTTCTTTTTTGCAGCAGGTAAAGCTAATACAAGCATGATATTCTAAGCCTTATTCTGTTACCATCTTATGGCTTTCCATGAAGATTTCAGCATATATTTTGTGCCATATTACTGCAAAATATGATTTTGTGTTATGAGATTTAACCGCAACAGTTTGAACTGCCTGGAAGCTAGTTAGTTCATTTGTATATCTTTGAATTCTACGTAGAAAAATAAACTACATGTCCTCATTTTGGATCTCCCTACGCTTAATATTATGGAAGATATACATATATACCACTCAATTCCTTTGTATTTACGTATCTGACAACTAAATTTCAGTTTTTACTTGTATATTATCTTATTTATGCCTGTATTGAATTCTGATTTGTTTGTGAATCACACCCAAAAAATAAAATGTAAGAGGGGAGAGAGAAAGAAGGGGGATTGAATAGTAGGACTTTGTATTAGCCGTGTTTTATTCATAAAATGATTTCTATTTATAGAAGAGATAGTACATTGTGATGATATTATATTTTTGTCTATATTAAATGGGTTTTTACGGGGTATTCTTGGTATTTTACATCTATGAGCTTATCATGTGGTTGCTCTATGGACCAGCCGACTAAACCCAATTTGATTTGTCTCGGTTGATTGAGATCAGCTTGACTCGATGGGATCAACTCAGTCGGTAGAGTTTGGTCGGTATCAGTCGACCGATTGATATGGTCCATCTATCAATCATTGACTCCTGATGAGGGACCTCTAGATGTCTTTGGGGTTGTTGGAAAAGCTAAGGAACCAGGTTTTCTCTGAATCGGCTCGTTCTTATATCCTATGGTCGTCTTTAGCTTGTCTCGCAATTTGGTCAGCTTTGGCCTTAATGGCTTTGGCTCGGTCAGCTTCACTCTATTAGAAAAGCGGGCCTCATAATATGTTGTTGGCGGGGTCATCTGTACAGTCATATCTCCTTAGGTTCAACGCTGGCCCTTTTTTGGATGCATATATTAGCCCTTTTTTTGATGCATATATTATAATTCTCTGATTCTATAACCACTTGAAAGCAACACTACGATAGGAATAAGAAAATTTAATGTAAAAAATTGATTGCATTTATTATTAATAAAAGATTCAATAATTAAAACCTCTTGATTTCTGCACATTTGAGGCTTATAAATAAGACAAGCGTGACATGACTCTTCACATTTCATATTTGCCATGCATTTCTTCTCGTTTAAATTAGCTGGTTTCCAAGCATTTTAATGAAAAATGTGTCAAACTCCCATGATGATATCCATAACAAAGATATGCTTCGTGCTACCTTTGAGAGACCGAAGAAGCGGTACCGACCGGGAGGTGAAATGAAGAAGAAAGTCGTCGTTAAGAAGAAAAATATGTTCACGCCGGTGCATTAGGTGGGTTCGTTTGATTCTTTCCTTGGCTCAAGTAACCAACTCAACCATCGCTCTGTCGGCTCAATCTTCTATCGTGGCATGGAACGCACCAACCGAAGGAGCCATTGAAGATGCTGTTGTTGCTCTGTCGTTGCCCGATACACAAGAAGCTACTAGTGCTATGTTGTTGCCCAATAAGCTGATGTTGCTCTGCACCACCCGATGAAAGCGTTGTCACTGACATCATCTGAGTTGGATCGACTGCTTGCTATGAGGAGCTTCAATCATACTCATTAGATTTTGATTTTTTTTTTCTAGGGAATCCCCTTTCTTCTTTATGTTGCTCTTGGTGTAGCTTATTCCTTTCGATAGTCTCGAGTGATGACTCGCCTCCTGTAAATGTTTGTGAGAACCCAATTGCAGTGCTAATGGAGACCGCCCAGGCGCAGTCGGGGACGGTTGATTCTCGAGCGAGAAAGTGTGGGATTGACAACGTAGGTAATCCTCTCGAGACCCGCATGGAAGCAACTAGTGGATGTCAGCTATCTCTAAGGTCTTTGCTCACCGCCTGGACAATATCAAGAACTTCTCCGCTTTCGGTCGGGATCTATCAAAGTGAAGAGATACACGAATTGCTTGCTCTTGTGGAGAAAGTGGACAAGATGGAGGAAGAGATGACCACTCTTCGCTAGGAACCATCGGATGTCTGGGAGAGACCTCGTGTAGTCTAGGCACAAGCTGAGCGGATCGGGTGAACAAGTTTAAGTTTGTGGGAGAAGTTTTATATAAGGGTTTGTTTTTACAATGATATGTCTTAGTCAAAACAGCGACCGACCGTCATGTAAAGTATATTTTTTTTTTCAGGATAATTTTCAACTCGTTTTCAAAATTACTGTATATTTCCATTTTTAACCCTTGTGAGACGTTTCAACTTCTTTTGTTTCCTTATATATAAGGTTGAGGGATTTGATGACCCTACGCTTTTATTGTCCTTTTCTCTTTTTTTTTTTCATTACCTCGGCCTTTTCTTTTTACACTTTGCTTGATGGCTCTGAAGTATTCTCCAAAGGCCTTAAGATCGTCATGTCGAATCATCGATCGTCGATTACTTTGGGGGAAGTGGTTCGGTTGCGGGAGACCTGTGTCTGATTCCATACTGAAGATTCGGGTCGCTGACGAGAACGATTAAGCGACCACTTCGTTTGACACTATTTTATATGAAGATTAGTTACACTTCAATCTCTCTGGCTATTTTTTTTTGCTGGGAATTGCGGGCTATCTTTAATCATTACCGAGTCATTCCCTCCAAAATTCTCTCGAACTCCATAGCGACAGTGATGACTTACATTATATTCGGACTTCGGCCATGGATCTTTTGGTCGATGGAGCATTTTAAGTTATATGTTTTTATTCCGGGTCGACTTGGATAGCTTCATTTAGTTCGCATCGGTCAACAGGTTCGAGGTTATGGGGCTAGAAAATAGAGTGAAGGATTGGAAGTTTAAATTCTGCTTGGGGTCTTCTCTCTGGTGATGATAGATTTAGATTGTACTGTGGTGCTCTTGTGAAGTCGAAGAAAAAGGTTTCAGATTGAGTGTTGGTCGAGGCTAGGGGCGTCGAAGAGCAACAACTTACAGTCTTTCCGTATCTCAACTTAACAATTGTCAACCAGGTTTTACATTCATACACCTTCAGTTAAATGATCGAGGAGGATTGGACAACCTCCGGCTCTTGGGAGGGCGAGAGGGAGGCAACGTTGTTGCCTGAGTAGGCAAGAAGAAGGCAGTACCATTGATCGTGCTGAAACCTTCCACCTCGAAACTGTTGAAGTTGTGGGCCGACATAAACCCCTGGTGGTCCATTCCGAGGAAGATTTGGAAAGTCCTAAAATGGTTTATTTAAGTCTATTTCTTCTATTATTTTTCAAATGAATGCCATTGGCGAGCTAATTTTTTTAGAAAAAAAATTATTTCGACGCCCACTAAGATTTCTCTGTCGGTTGCAGGTCCCTTGGGCACACAATCAAGTGGTCGAAAGGACGACGAACCTAGTGGAGTCTTCAGTGAGGCATTGGTAGGGCAATATATAATATCTGACACCCCTTGGTCGGTCACTCCTTCCTTCATCGATCTTCATGCCAGGGATGTAGCAAGTTGTTCTTCTCTAGTCGACCGGACTGGACCTGAGTTCGAGTTCAAGCCCTCCTCCCCCGCCCAAGAGGTGTGTCATAAAGGGAAGGCTCCCGCAACTGATCTGAGTGATTTTCTTCTTCCCTATCTTGGAAGAAGCGTAAGAGATCCACACTTGGGTGTGTTCCACTTAAGATGAGGGGGTGAAGATGAGCAACAGTTCAGACGATTAATTTACTCTAATCGATCTCAAGGAAGATCGGTATTTTGACTCCCCACTGCGATTTTTTACTTTGACTCCAGCTAATGTCATCTTTTCTTGTGCTTATGAGGAGGCCTAATGGAACACAAGCTCTCAGGCATATGTCAAGCGATCAATATGTCTTAACCGATGGTTTCAGAGGCTTCTCATTTCCTGTCGATGGTTCTTCTTCGAGCGATTGGACGCTCTGGAAAAGCTGGTAGGGACTGAGGAGAGGGTAAAGGCAACGAAAGAATAAGTAGTGATGGCCAAAGCGTGGCACTCTGCAATTAGAATTGCTCTTGGTCACATGAGGAAAATCGAGCCATGTAGGAAAAGATGGCCACAATGAAGTCAAATGGTGAGTTTTTTGCTAAGCTCTTCTCCCACTAGTATTAGGTTGAATTTTTTGCCGTGAAGCTTAGGGTGGGGAGGGAGGTGGGGGTTAGTCTTCGTTGTTGACTGAATGGTGAAGGCAAAGTTGGACTCCCCCTAGGAGGGGTGCCAAAAAAGCTCGTCGTTCGCGAACAACTCGTGTTCGGCTCGCTAAGTAGCTCTTGTTCGATGCGTTTGATAAACAAACGAGTTGAACACGAACAAATTTTTTTACCTCGATTTTTAAACGAGCCGAACACGAACAAAATTTTGTTCGATCGTGTTCGGCTTATTTTGGCTCAAATTGATTAGATAATAAATAATATATAAAAATTAATCAAATGATATCAAAATTTTTGTTTATAAAAATGTGAAAAAGAAAAAAATAGTGTTAGATATGTAAATACATAAGAATTCGGTGGAATGTATGTAAATATCCATAAAATTTTAAAAAAAATAATAAAATTTAGGTATTAGATATGTAAACACGTAAGTATTCGGCGATATGTATGTAAATGCCCCTTTTTTTAAAAATCCCACTCGACATAGAGGTTAAAAATATCTTCGGCTTTAGAGGACGAGCGAGCATACACGAAGATTTTGGTGTTGGATGACCCGATCCCTGTGAATAATCTGTCTGAGCTGTTGATGAATCACAGTCATGGGCAGTACTGTCTCTTTTCCATCAAACGACCCTCCTAGGGAGTTATAGATTTGTTGTCAGAAGTGGTCACCGCTCGCTGGGAACTTGCAAGAAACAAAGAATACTTTTCCATTGTAAAAAAGATTGGGATCCAACAATACTTCTTCGGTGCAAGCTAAGGCCGTAGTGTTCGAGATGCAAGTCCGAGTCATTAATTTGGAGGTTGATGTTGTGGAGATAAAGAACCACATTGCTATTTTAGAAGAGAAGGTGGTGGTTGGCTCAGACATGGCTCTTGCAATGCACCGAGAATAGAATGAAGTGAAGTTTGGTCTTCGTCAAGTTCAACAACGATTGAAATATTTTGATGATAAGTTGATCGTTTGTGGCGGGAGATTTGTTTTCGACAGGCTTCTCCAGTTTGAATGCGTATCTCCAAATGACATTAGAGAGAATTGGTTTGATCTTTTTTACGACGTTTCATAATTATATGTATTATGATTTTTTTATAGCTCGATTTTTGTAAGCCTAACTCGATTTATGAAAAAATAAGTGTTTACCTTGATGTGCTTGTCATATCTTTGAGTTTATTCTTTTTATTGTAAACGCCTGCGTCGAGTAATTATTTTAGTGAGGGTGATTCAATCGATCGAAGGAAAATCCGAATTGGGTTTTTTTGTGAAGCTAAAAGTCCAATTGATAAAAAAGTTTATTGAATCTGAATGGATGAGTATGATTATAGAAAGTTTATGCTATATGCGAACTCAAGTGTTATACCTCCAATGTCTCGGCGCTTGGTTAAGTCGTCGCTTTGTATGGGCTGTATCTTACGTCATGCATATTAAGTGGATCTTGTCTAGCTTTCAAGGGGATAACCATCTAGAAATATTGTTGAGGTGATTCATATGCTACCTATCACAAATCTTGTCACTAATAGTTAGGAAATCACCTCCAGAGCCTGACCCGCTTCAAGCTAGAAGAAATGAGTTTTATTGATACTTGAGCGTTGTGGGTTGATTCTTGTCTGATTCACCGATCATATGGTTGTTCTTGGTTGTCGGTTATTTAGATAATTTTTATTGATCGGTGGTTATCGGTTGCTGTCAATTTTATGACTCGGATGGAAACATTGCCAATGGGCCGATTTGAGTTCTCCGAATTTTTCTGATCCATTACATAAACTTCTCAAGTTTCCTGAGTGTCGGTCGTACTTAGGATTGTATGTACCATTAGTAATTTTTTTACTTAACCAATTTTATACAACTGACAATAAAATACAGTGGTTGGAACAATAACAGATTCTCATTATTGGGATACAAGAAAATCATCTTCGCTCCACATTCGAGAAATTTCTTTCTCTTTATAGGTTTTTAGCTTGTATGCTTTGAAGGCGTCCAACCTGTCAATGATAAATGACCCGATCCACATCTGGTCAAGCTTTCCACTACTTCTCGCGTAGCTGGGTCAGCTTTCTTCAACACTATGATTCTGTTTGGCGCAGCTGCAGCTTCTCAGGTTCTCAGCTGCAGCTGCGCTGCCCGAGGAAGCTGTTGTGGGGAAGCTGCTGCGGGAAAGCTAGCTGTCTATTTGGTGCAGCTGTGTGAAAACAAATTTGGGGCAGCTGTTTCTGGCAAAATGACCATGCTGACTCTATTTGATAAAATTGTTTCAAATATAACTGTACGAGCGACATATTTTATAATTCTGAAGCTAAATTTTACTTCGAAACAGTTCAAAAATTCAGATGCTCAACCAACTTAACGGTGAGTACGGATAGTGATAAAGGAAGAGGAAAAAACCCCCCTAGTCCAACAAGTAATGTAATAAGTGAAACGACAACTAAAAAGAATTCCGTTGTCTGTTGATACATAGTTTTTTGGCAGCTTTATATCGATGGCATGATGGAATTAAAATGAAGGAAATTTACAAAAGAACCACAAAGTTTTTATGAATTTACACATCGAACACCTAGTTTGATATTTTTATAATTATAAGATTTTGGTGCTAGAGATCTATGCATGAAAAAAGTGCAAAAATTAGTGAAGTGGCATTTTAGATTGTGATATGAAGGTATTTGAGTGTTATGAGCATAAACGTTAAAGTTTAGGTGTTTTACATATAAAAATCATCCTCAGCAATTAATACCTATATAATAGATATGCGGTACCTCAACAATAAGCTTATTAGTGCCAGCTCACAAATAAATAAACCACCATTATATTGAAAAAGACCACATGTTAATGATTAACAAACAGAGGTGAAGTGATCCAACCCACAAGATCATGCCCAACAAAGTTAAAAGGAAGGAAGCCATGATCTAAAGAAAAGAAACAGACATACGCAAATCCCACAAGGCAACAAAAATCACAATAAGAACCACACCAACAACCTCTACCAAGATCTCCAGCCCCGACACCAAAACATAGATTCCCAACCTCCATCGCCCATCTACCCAGCCTTGTCTCCATCTCAAACTCCCATGGCACAAATCATACGTCCACAACATGTTCCTAATGGCTGCAAAAACCGGGCAGACAAAGTGAACGAGACCCCCAGTCCAACCCCAAAGCGTAAACCCCCAAACCTCATAAAAATGAAAAAAACAGTATAGAAAGGGATTGGCAGGATCACCATGCCTCCACCGCTGCCCGCTTCTACGGGTTTGTTTGAGAAGAGGATGAGATTCAGGAGTTGAGGAGATTCGGGAAAGGGGAAGCTCCGCTCGAGTTTAGGAAGTTGAGGGCACGAGCGTAAAACCCATTTAACGCAATGGCGACGAAGCTGGGCCATGAGTATCCGTCGACATTTTGCGTTCGGCCTAATTCGCGGTTTGCCGTGGACGAGATGCCGGCCAAACTTGAAATAATCGCGGGGCGGTGCCGCGCAACGGCCTGGCTGCTGCGCAAAACATACCCTATGTCTCGTCGGCAAAATTTTTTTCGAACGTGCTTGATATAGTATCAAGTCGTCCGTCTCTTCACCTCTTTTTGCCAAATAGCTGAGTCAGCTTGTTTCTCCTCCGCAAGGTCGGGTGCAAGCATTACTCCATCGTCGTTTGTTTCCTGTCAATCGGCTTAACCTACTTTGTCAAACACAGAGGTTGTCATCGCTTTTTGGTTGTGATAGTTGTGATGATAATATTCTATCGACAACATTGCCTCCATCTCGTGTGACCTCATGAATGTGGTTTGCCTGGTCGCCGTGGGCAGTTTCATTCGAATCGCCCAGAGAAGATAGAAGGATCTTGACTCAATTTCCTTTAGCTCCTTCAATCTTTTTCCTCGGTAAGTTTAGGATGAACTTGTTTGGTGCTTCAACCCTCCCATTTGTTTAAGAATGATGTACTGACGCAAACTTCAAACTGATCCATTAGCTTTGTCAAAAAATTTTCACCACTTGATTAATAAATTATGTTCTGTTATCTGTGATGATTACAGGTGGTAGATCATATTGACATATTAGATCAGGCGGATGAAGTTTCGAATGACCTTTGCGGTGATTCGTGCGAGTACCTTGGCCTCAATTCCTTAAAAAAATAATCCATAGCAAGCAAACATTTTTGTTGGCCTCACGACAGGAGAGAAGGGTTCGAGGGTGTCGCGTCCTCATACGACAAAAAGCTATGGGCTAACAATGGGTTGTTGTTTGTGTGTTGACTAGCGTTGCAGTGATACATATTTCAGACATTGCTAGCATCTCTTTGAGAATCTCCCGACATCTTTTTGAAGCGTTCACCAGAAATAATCCTACCTCTGCACTTGATGTGCCAAAATTTGTCCTCTAGAGTGTCTCTTGCACTCTTCCAACTGCATCTTCCGGAGGTTGATATGTGATTGTTGGTCAGGTCTAACAAAACTGTCAGCTTCTTCGGTTGCTGCAAACTCAATACGTACGGGAAGGGTCGTTCTTTCAACCCTTGAGCTAGGGCGACACGAGCCATTGGACTCCAGATCCAACACTTCCCAACATCTTTTGGAAGCGTGCGATGAATGAGTGAAGGCTCTTGCTCTGTTGGATCTGCAGGCCCTGTGAGTTTTTTTTGAGGTTTTTGTGCTTTTTCCAACACCACCACAAACATTTGCTTGAAATCAACGAACAATGCAATTACTCCTAGCAGTAGTGCATTGAACCACTTGAGGGCCGACTTCCTCAGCTTGATAAAGAAGAGAAGATATTTCAGTGTGTCGGTGATCCTTAACAAACACACAGTCGACTCAAACGAGGCTATGTTGTTGGCCGGGTTGGTCCTTCCCTTGTAAAACTCCAGTGTGGGATATTGAATCTTTATGGGGAGCGCGCTTCAGAGAATTGCCTAGAGAATGCATTTTTAGGTTATCAGGCTACTCAGTAGGCTTGAACCGATGCTGGTTGATCGGTGCCTACCTAACACTATTTAAGTAGCGAGGGTCTTCTCTCTCTGGGGTTGGGGGGCCTCTTTGGTCATTGGGCGCTAGCCCTTTCTCTCGAGGGTTGTGCTCTTCCTCGAGCCAGTGTATCTCGAATGACAATCCAACATTTGATTATTTAACTCTTGGATCTGTTGGTTCATAAACTATTTGTTGTATTTCATATTATCGGTGTCTCAATTATGAGTTTTTTTCTTTTTGGGTCGCTCTTCTTCTTGTTTTTGGCATGAATTACACTCACTGCACCTTTTAGGATGTTGAATATTGATTTGTCCATGAATTACACCTAAAGAATATATCTTAAGGAGAGGGAGGGAGAGAGATAGAGGGATGAGTGAATGGTAAAATGTTATATCAATCGTGTCTTGTCATAAAATGATCTCCCTTTTTTATTGGGAGAGTACAATGTGATGAAGGTACATTTTTACATCTGCTTTAAAGTTAGTTGATATTTTACATATATGAGCTTACTGTTTGGTTGCTTTCTGGGTCAGTCGACGAAGCTCAATTTGATTTGTCTCTGTAGACACAGATCTGCTCATTCGGTTGAGTTTGGTCATTATGAGTCAACTGTACCAGTCGGTTGATATGGTTCAGCTATCAATTCTTGGCCTCAATGAGGGGCCTCTAGATGTCTCTGGGGTGGTTGGAGATGCTAAGGAACCAGATTTTACTTAGATCAACTCGTTCTTATATTTTCCAATTGTCTTCGGTCTGTTTCGCGGTTCTGTCAGCTTTGGCCTTGCTGGCTTTGGCTCGGAAAGCTTCACTAAATTGGAAAAGCAGGCCTCATAATCTTCAGTTGTCGGATCCTCCTTCGTCATTCTCTTTTCTTCGGGACCGTCAAATCTTCTCAAGATCAGTGCTGACCCGTTTTTTATGTGCAATATGAAAGTGCAGTTCACTTTTTAAAGGTTAAAATAGTGTTTTTTTTAAAGTATGAGGTGTTAAATATGTAAATACATGGGAATTGGGGGGTATGTATGTAAATGCCCCTGTTTTGCATTTGTTTTATAATGAAATTTAGTTAGATCATACAGGCGAGGTAAATTAACTCCAGGTTATTGGAGAAAACAATTATCTGCATAATCTTATCACTGCCTAACTTAGCAACTTCGTAGATTTTGTCGGTTAAAATCGATGAAGCAACAAAGAGGAATGTGATATTGCCTTGCTAGTGTTGTCAGGGTACCTGTAGGTATGCATCTTTTCAACTTTTCATTGTGTATATTCGATTCCCCTAAATCTGTCATCATATCTAACCTTTGATATATTTATGCAATAATATGTTTGATTTAGCATATATCTTTTTTTATATTTACATGTTTAATGATATCAATTTAGATCCTTTTTTTTTTTTTTTTTTTTTTAAAAAACAAACTGAATCAATAAAACATTATTGAATTTGGTGGGGGCTTTTTAAATTTTATTTTAGAGCTTCAAATCAGTTTAATCTATAATATCTAAGTATGACCTTGTCTTTTATAAATATTGAATGATATTTTTTAACATGGTATTTATTAAAAATTAAGTAATAAATACTCTAATTGTTTGATTAATACTAACACATGAAACTTCTAATTATTTTATTATGATATCATCAATTAAAATTATGCCATCAAAAAGCATAGCCAAGTGACTATTGTTGAAGGCATGAATAAAATCGTAGTTAACAGATTTGTAATTATGAAGTAAAATAACCATTGAAGCTGGGTCGCTATTTCTTTTCTAATATTTCATTATAAAATCGTAGTAATATGCAACATATTTGTAGAACAATTTATCCTTACACATGACCAGGATAATGTTGAATGCAAAAAATGTCGAGAAAATACACCCAAAAAATAAAATGTTTTATTAGGAAGTAATTAAGAGAGAAAGTAGGCAAACAAAAAGTTTCTCTTATTCATAATATCGAATCTTATTTATAGGCTCTAATATTACAAAATTATATAGTATCCCACTCATTATTAATTTTTCGAAGAAGCATTTTAATAATTACAAAGTCATTTGCATGTAATAAAATCGGGGGCCGATTTGGTCAATGAGGGTTATCGATTGTCTGTCAAGTCTCTGTTTGATTGATTTATAGTCCGAAAGAATGCTTTTCGTCGATCGTCCTGAAAGCTGATTTCTGTCCCATGAGATTTTCTCTTAATGTTTTCTGCTAATCGTTAGTATAAGGTGCCTTCTTTGACAATGCTGGTCTGAAAGTTCGCTTTAATTATGAATGGATAAGAATATTTGTCTCAGTAATTCTAAATTTGAATTATTGTTGTTCATGAAAAGCATCCGCAGAATGTGGGGGGGGGGCGTTTGGGTAAATGCTATTACATGAATATGACCATGGTGGCCCCAACAGTGTGTCAGTGGTACCGTTAGGTCCATCATATTTAATTAATTATTATTTTAATGAGAATATCTTAACATATGTATGTTTGAAAAAATTGGTTTTAAATTGAATGGTACAAACAATTCATATGTATATATATTTCTAACACAATTTAGTTTTCATAATTATAAAATATAACTTTCATTCATGTGTATGTAAGATGATATATATAGATATATATATAATGTAAATAGAAAAGAATAAAGGGGAATGTATGTAAAATTTATAATAATGTAATAAAAATTGACTTTGGATATTAAAAGGGGAAATAGAGAATCTAATGAAAATGGAGGAGGAGGGAAAAAGGGAGAGAGGAAAAGAAAGATGGACATGGAAAAGAGTGGAGGATAAAAGTTCAATGAATGGTAAGCCAAAAATGCCAAATGCGCTGTTTTGGATTGTTGCTGGGTGATGTGTGCCCTTCGCCGCTGCCATGCCATCAATCGCCTGTGCTAAAGAGAACCAGTTCATTGCATCTTCCCTTTTTCCCTTTAAAATAATTACTAAAGTCCAGTCCTGTATTTATACGTGTCTTTTTTCTTTTAGCAATTTGATATTGAAGCTTCCTTTTTTTATGTTTATCCTCTATCAACTTCACTCCATACTAATCATATTATGCCTTTTTTTTTTTTTTTTAAGATTTAGATACGTATCACTTTCTTCTATGTATTTACATATCTAACACTTCAATTTTAATATTTTAAAATATTAATGCTATTATATAATACTTAAATGCACAAGTTCCTTCAACAATTAATGCAGGGAAATTTACATACCTAGCTCTGATTTCTTTTTATGTATTTACATATATAACACAAAAAAGTTTTATTTTTACATTTATGCCACTCGAGCTTTAAGATCACATAAAAACTATCACCATTTTAACTTTAAAAAGTGAAATACACCTTTTCATATATATATATATATATATAAAAGGTGGTATGAATGTAAAAATTGAAGTTTAGATGTTGGACATGTAAAATACATAGGCTTTGAGTGGCATTTGCATGTATGAAAATCTTCCTCTTATTTTTCTCTTATGTATCATAGTGCAGAATAGACATTTGCTATGCGCATCTTGAAAATTTTGTTGTTGAAAAGGCTAAAGTTTATTTGAGATAATTTACTTTCGAGCATGAATAAGAAAAAAATCATTTTTTCTCTCTTAATTGTAGAAAATGGAATTATAAAATAGTACTTGCTAGCTTTTCCACCTGTTAAACTCCATGAATTGTAGTGCAAAAGATTGATGAAGATTTAAAGGGTATTGGCACTACTGAAGAGATTTGCATGAGTGTGGTTTATGAATAGTGATGATTAAGAGAGTCAAAAAGTGATGGTGGTTGATCATTGCTTATTAGATAATTAATGATAGTAGGATGATAATGCATGGTTAGATGGTGGTAGTAGAGTGACGATCGATTTATGATGACAATTATCCAACAATAGTTGTCAGGCAATAATGATTGTTGCCAGTGATTTTTGTTGTTGTTTATCTGAAAGTGCTTTAAAATTTTTCAAATTTCAAAACTCTTTCAAATTTTAGATCTCTTGTGGGTGAAGATATTTGTATTCTTTATAATATTCTTGAATAAAAATTTATTTATAATCATATATTAATGCTTAAATGTTTAAAAGCTTTAATAACATCAAAGTTGAGTGCTCTTTAATTCATTTGATTCATTTTACTGAATTGTTCACTATGATTATGAGAACACAATTTTCAAACATAGCTCAGCCCTTTATATAGCATCATAACAATTTTAGCTACGTTTTAGATGTTTGATTTGGACTAATCTGGACTCAAAATAGTCATTTGAGTCATCTCATTGAAACATTCATTTTAAGAATAAATTTGCTAGATTGAAAGTGCATTTAGTCATGAGTTAAAAGCTTCTAATTGATGGATTGCACCCATGCTTATATTCGATCAAATGAATTTATTGGGGATGTATTATTTGCCTAATATTTTTATATGAAAATAAACATGTGGTATATGAGGGCTTTTCACTAGTCGACCTTTGAAGTATTCCAACCGAATGCCTTTTATTGAACCCTTTATTTATAGTTCATTCATTAGGTATTTAATTTCTTTAATTATCTTGGGAGAATAATCTAATTTTGGTATTCTTTAATTTTATCATTAGAAAGTGTCATATGCTATTAACAATATATGTTAGAAGCACTTTATTTGTGCTCGTTTAAGATAAGATAAGAGCCAAACTTCTTTCAATTCGAAGTGTTAAAATGAAAATTTGGTTACCGACATGCCACTCAATTCTTATGTATTTACATATCTAGTATTTAAATTTTACTTTTTACATACATGTTATACATTAAAATGTGTTTTTCACGTTTTTAAAAGCTAAATTGATGGCATTTTTTTTTTAATGTGACACGAATAATTTGGGCGGTATGAAAGTTAAAAAAAAAAAAGTAAAGCTCAGATGTTATATATATATATATATATGATTTAAATATTTAAATATTTAAAGTGATTCATGAAGGAACAAGGTATCTGGATATAAAATATTGTGATTCATCCCCTTTTTTGCAGAAGAAGTCAACAAATTGAGTGGAGCCAGTTAGAATTTATTTTTGTGGTAGATGCTCTAACTATAGTACAACAGTTCCTGGTACGAAAATTTGAAGATTAGAACTCACATTTGATGTTGTATTATAGAGTACAAATTCTTTTAGATCTTATAATTTATGAATTGAGGGTCACATTTTTGTTCTTCAATTTTTAAACATATTTAGTCAGAACTTCGCATTTTCCTCGTCATTAAACTTTATTGTTTTTAAGGGTTTGCACTTTGAACTTGAGAAAAACGTGCTCTCTTAATCTTATAAATTGTGTAATAAACTTTCGAATCATTTTCTGTCACCGATCCTTTTTTTTTTTTTTTTTTTTTTTTTCTCCTTTTCCCTTATTACATAAGAAGGGATAGAAATATAAAATTATGGACCGTATGGTACAAATCTGTCTTGATAAAAAGATCATGATGCAGAGGCTACGCTGCTCGTCACTAATAATGAAATATATGTCAATCATTTAATGTTGATCATTACCTGGGCTGTCTGTCAATTTGAAGGGTCACTAGTGGGGGCGAACTTCACATATGGGTATGACGAGCATATTAGCTCATGGGAAAATGATAGCTAGAACTTCAATCAGGTCAATCCGACAAGTCAATTCATCAGGTAGATTTAATGGACCTGGTGGGGCATATAATGAACCTGATGATGAGCATCGAATCATGTGGTTCTTCAGATGTCCATTTGTTTAGAACCAGTCTAAGAAAACTCTTGCATTCCATTACATGCCCATGATCACCAATTAACCATGTACATAAACATTTTAATAATTGAGTTATGGAAAATAGGATATTTCAACAAAAAAAAAAAAAAGAAGACTATAGCACTAATAAATTAAATAAACAATTCGTGCTTGGCTTGATGCTGTGTAAATAGATAAATAGAATCGCCTTTTATTAAATAATTAGCAATGCCTTTCACGTTGTAAAGAAAGGATGGATGTGCTGCTGTTTTCTGCCAATTTCCCTCTTTCAGTTCGTGTTTGATATGTAATGTGCTGCACCATTGAATGTGATCATCTTGGGTACATATCATCTAATTAGTAGTAAATTAAATAAAATTTATAAAGGGGGTTAGGGGGATGTGGACCTATAGATGGTGAGCCAGACCTATCACATAGTACTTGTCATAATCATTGATATATCATCAATAAATTTCCAACAATTAGCATGAATCTTGAGACATGATAGGAATGTCGAGCTGATTTTTTTAGCAATATATATTTTAACTTCAATTAAAAGTCATTCAGAGCTCTGCTTTCAACAAACTTACAATCAAATTGATTGGCTCAATGAGACGGACCCAATGATATCAAAATTAGTCTAATTCGAGTCAAATCATGCGCAGATCAAGTCATTAAGCTACCCTTGAAAGTTTTTCGAACTTATTTAGAAGATCAAATGAATGTTAAATCTAGCAAGTCTACAGTCGAATAGAGCGTCTCGACAAGACGAATTCAACGAGCCCAAGTCTGCTCAATTCTGACATCGTTAAGACACTCAAATGTCTAACAAACACCGTTTGATTGAAGGAAGCTATCCGAACCGTCTGATCAATTAATTGTACCCAAAAAACTAGAAAAAACTCTACTCCTCTATTGAGGGAGAGAAGAGTTTCAGAATCTGAGAAAGAGCTTGAAACTTTGAGAATGAGCTGATGTCAAACACTGTCGTTGTCAACCGTTGTCGACCATCACTGGCCTTCGCCGACCACCGCCGACTGTCACGGACTTTCGTCAATCTCCGTAAACCACCGCCGACTGTCGTTGTTCACCATCAACTACCATCGACCTCAGCCAGCTACCGTCGATCACTGTCAATCGCTATAGACCACCATCGACCGGACACCGTCAATCGCTATCAGTCGTCGTCCGTTCCTAGCAGCAAATTCATCAACATGTCGATGTTGTAACTGAGAAACCTAATAACTCTTTCCGGCATGTGGGACTAGTTGTCGCAATTATAATCATTTTTTTATAGTGAAATTTTTCAGCTAAGTCAAAAGGCGTTGCTTTTTTCTTTCCAGATTTTCCATTCTCTTTTTGTAGCACTCATGAATCATAGTTATGGCACTCATGAATCATAGTTATGGCCCACTTCCACGTATTTCATAAATTTGTTGTCCAATTACTAGCTCCCTGTAGGATATATTAGCGATTGTTTTGTTTCTATCCTTGTTTGAGCTTTTGTTTGGCTTTTATGGTTCTTTGAGTTTAGTATTACTGAGCCGCAACTGGTCGTTCGGAGCCCTTTGCACGCTTTCAGATTAAGGAAAAAAGTGCAGGCCATTAATGCAAAACATCTTTTGATGGTAATTGAGAAGAGGGGATATCTTGAAAATAAAGTGAATAGTTTAAATGAATGGGGTTCCAGCGCTCATTATTATCAAATTTATATCATGGGGCAGCTATTAGTGATGATGATAATGAACCATAGTGGATGATTAATTAGAATCCATTAACATTACCGAAATACTGTCAGCACAGTAACAATATTGCTTTCTCAAGTTACATGTAGATGGCCCCATGAAAGCCTTTCTGAGGTATGAATTTGGGCATTATCAAGTGGATGGGCCCGCTAATCAGTTTCATGCATGACTGCAAATATGTCTTTGAAGTTCATCTAATTTATCCATTCTTTATAGTTCATATATATATATCGTGTGTCGAAAATCTTCTAGCTAAGTTAAAATAAAATTCACTATATGTTTATGAGCATAAATATAAACTCTTATTCCATAAATAGGAACGAAATACAAGCTTTCTCCAAGTGCAATTGAGTAATGATATCTTGATATATATATATATATA